TTCTTCATTAATTGTTGTAAGCAGCACTTCAAGCAGTGAATTAATCTGTCTGTTTACTGGGGAATAAATTTATTTTGTCTTCACTTTTGAAAGATACATTTGGTAAAAATGGAAACATCGTTGACAATTGCTTTCTTTAACTTCTTTGAATATGTTACCCCACAGCCTTCTCTCCATTGTTTTGGACTGGAAGTCAGTGGTTAATATTATCATCATCTGCTGGTATATGAAGAGGTATTGTTTTCTTGATACTTGCAAGGTTTTCCATTTGTTTTTCCACAGTTTGACTATGATGTGTCTAAGAGTGGATCTCTCTGCTTCTATTTTAGTAGAGGCAAACTTCAAATTTGTAGTTAATATTTTCCATCTAATTTGATAAGTTTTCAACCATTATTTTGCAAATTTGTTCTTCCTTCTCTACACACACACACACACACACACACACACACACACAAACACAGGGCCAAAAAAAATTTGTACACATTTCCAGAAGGGAAAAATATGTATTAATTGTAATACTCAATGTATACCAATCACAAAAGGTGAATACAAGTCATGTTTGACTTCTCTCAAAGTGGTTACCATCAGAGTCCAGACCCCTCTGATTACAGGAAACTAGTGCTTGAGCATAGATAACACCTCTTAAAATGTGTATACGTTTTTTGGCACCCCTGGTATATATATGTATTTTCTCTCTTCAGTTCTGTTAGCAGTTGCTTTATGTACTTTGGTGTTCTCAGATTGGGTGCATATATATTAATAATTGTTATGTCATCTTGATATATTTTCCCCTTTATCATTATAAAGTGTCCATATTTGTGTCTTGTTACCTGTTTTATCTTGAAATCTGTTTTGTCAGATATAAGTACGACTATGCCCATATATCTCTAGAAGCCATTTTGCTTGGAATATCATCTTCCACCCCCTCACTTTGAGTCTATGTTTGTCTTTGCAGCTGAGATGGGTTTCCTGAAGGCAGCGTATAGTAGGGCTTTATTTTTTAACCCATCCCACTACTCTCATTCAATTAGTAAGTTCAGTTATTTACATTTAGGGAGATAATTGATACATGAGGATTTACTATAGTAATTTTATCTTTTGTTTTTTGGTAGCTCTGAGTCTTCATTGTTTCTTTTCCCTTGTGTTGTCTGCTATTTTACTTGGATGGTATTCCATTTTTTACACTCAGTTTTCCCTTTTATTATGTTATATGTCTCAGTTCTAGGTTTCTGTTTTGTGGTTACTGCTAGGTTTGTGAAAAATAGAAAATTTCATATGTATAATAGTCCTTTTTCTGCTGATTGCATCTTATCTGCGTTCACGAGTGCAAGTTAAGTCATTTCTCCACTCTCCTTTTATGATTTCTTGTCACAAATTATCCCTTTTTATGCTGTGCATTTAGTTCCTAATTGCAATAGCTAGTGCTTTGTTTTTAAAGGCTTCTGCCTCCTTTATCCCTTATATTACATGTGTATTTAAGTATTTAATATCTTACTCTGAACAAGACTTGCAATTTCCTACTTCTGTCTGTCTGGTGGTCATGTTACTAAGTTTCATATCCTTTTGTTTTTTGTTTCAGTTAGAAGAGCACTTTTCAGCATATCTTGAAATGAGGGTCTTGTGGTGGTAAATTCTTTCAGCTTCTGTTTGGATAAGCCTTTATTTCTATGTCATATAGAAAGGATAACTTTGCTCGAAATATTATTTTTTCTGGTGATTTTTCTGTTTGGATATTTTAAATATTTGATTCCATTTTCTCTTAATTGTAGCATTTCTGCTAAAAAGGGGGAAAAAAAAAACAGTGATAATCCAGTGGGGTTTCTTTCACAGGTTACCATCTACTTTTCTCTGGCATCTTCATAATTCTTTCTTTGTTGTCAATATTTGGCAGGTTTATTATAATGCTCCTTGGGAAGGTCTTTTTGGATTGAGATAATTAGGTTTTCTATTAGCTTCTTAAATGTGAGTGTCCCATTCTTCCCATAGGTTTGGGAAGTCTCGCCTATTGGAGTCAGATACTTCTTGTAGAGTTCTTGCATTTATTTTTTCCTCGCGATTCTCTCTGCTCTTCTCCCTGAGTTATTTACAGATTTATATCTTCGATATCACTAGTTCTTTCTTCCATCTGGTCTGTTCTATTTCCTAAGCTCACTAGTTGATTCTTCATCTTATTTATTGAGCTCTCTAGCTCCAGAA